TTTGGGCAACGATAATCTAATTGTAATTTACTGCAATGATAAATAAATTCTTAAGAGCTACAATAATAAATAACGATCGCTTTGTATTAATACATATATAATTGTATTTGCATTTAACTAGACGTTAAAATCTCGTACAAACAGCACTAGTAAGTACACTGGCCACTATCTCTCTTTATCGTGTTATTATTAATCTGTATTCTTGTTCTTATGTCTCTGATGCCAACCTTTATCATTGTTTGAATTTTGGATTTTTCACTTAATTATAAATCAATGTATATTTCAAAGCAGAAAATATATCAAAATATTATATATGAGTTAAAGTCTAAATTTGCTCTTGTCAAGAGTTTTTTACTCTAGAGTACCACGTATTCAAAAGTTTTTGTAGATACAAATTTACATCGAAAATTTAAAATTATAATAATTTTGTTTCTTGTCGTTAAAAATGTTAACAATTATTATCACTATTTTAATAATCAACATTTGTTTTTTAATAATAAATGATAAAATTGCTCCAATTTTAAATTTTTAGGAGTAAATTTGCACCCATAAAAACGTCTAAGTGCTTAATTGAGTGAAAATTTACAACTTAATCTGAGTATATTACTCTTCCAGTCTTTAATATATGACCTAATTATTAAGTTGATTTTAATTATAAATATAAGACTTATTTATCATATTTATCAGTTTTTTCTAAATTACTCCTATTGATACTTCCTCAAGCATGATTAGGTAAAAGAGAGAAAAATGATATTAAGAAAGATGATAATAGTGTTTTAAGAAAAACATGTCTTGTTTTTATAATTAACTAACTTTCTTAAATATGTCTTATATTAAGGATTAGAGGAATATTTATTTTGTGAGTTAGAAAAAAAAAAAAAGGGGGCAATGGATGCATGTGTTAATTAGGACAATAAAGCAGAGGCGAGATTTGAAATTCAAGGGATAAAAAGATGTCTACGTGATAGAGACCATTTGGATCCAATTTGCGCAATAAATTAATTGACGCTGAGAGGCCAGGCATGGAGTTTTGGTTTGGAGGGAGAAAAGAAGCCAAAACAAAAAGAATTTAATTTTATATTGAAATATCTAAGAACTCAGATTAAACAATACTCTTCCGGTCCTAATTATAAGACCCAATTGACTTATTTGAGGAGATTAAGGAAGTAAGTTAAGTTGGTTATTTATAATAAATAAGTGTTGTTATTCCTAAAATATCCTTGCTAATTAAGTATATTGGCTAAAACTATCATTATTGGAAGGATTATCTTGGAAAAAAATGCATAAATATAAGAGAGAAAATGGATTGGGTCTTATAATTAGGACCAAATAAAAAGTCAAATTGGGTCTTATAATAAGGACCGGAGGAGTACAAATTTATGTATAAAATATTTAAAAAAATAACAATTCAATGTTTATGTGGGTCTTAATTCTCCAATTTTATATGAATACGCCACCCATCACGCCGTAACTACCTCTTCCGTGTTTCATCCATTTTCCTTGTGACCTGGTACTCTCTTTATCAGTCCCTTTCACCCCTATTAATTTTATTACTATTACCATTTTTTTAAACCCTCCATCCACATCTTTTTCACTATCTTTATACTTTTTATTGTTATTATTTTTGTTGATGTCTGGTATCAAAAATATCTTCAAAATTTCAAAATGCTATACAAAAACGTATTATTATTTGTTTTTTTAATGTTCTCAATTGTTATTAAAGTATCATGAATAAGACTGATTTAAAACTTTAAAATTTGAAGATATTTTTTTAAAATTCTCTACTGGGCATGGATATCTGCATTACAATAGCGTCAGTTTTTTTTTTTTTTTTGACCAGATACAATAGCGTCAGTTTAAAGATTATAAATCCTACTATCCATTCATCTTAAAGCGATAATTCCGTATAATCTATTATTTATAACTAATTTAATGTTTGCATAAACAATGAATATAAAAGTTGAGTAATCTAAGAAAATTTAAAAATCTAAAAAAATTACTTAATTATATTATATGTTACATAATTTCTCTAAAATAATACTTATGTATATTATTAAAATATATATTTAAACAGATTAATTTAAAATAATAAACATAATATCTAAAAATAATTTATTTAACTTCTTTAATGTAATATATTCACTGAAGTAAATGCAATACTACCTCATTTCTACCAATATTCAAAAAACAGAAGTCTTGCTGGCGGAAAAACCAAAAAAAGGAGAGTCTATAGCCACCAAGACACCAACTCAATCTAACTACGTCAAGCTAGCCTAGAACGCCTCAAAAATATTTTTTTTTAAATTGAGACAAATTTTTTTATATATTTATTTTATATTTTATAAAATCACTTTTAAAATTATAGTTTTGTTTCCATCTAAATATCCTTTAAACCAATTAGAATTGTGTTTAATGAAAGAAATTAGTCTTTTATAACGAATTAAGAATTGAATTGCTATTAAGGGGTGTGTCAACATCACGCATAGATTACCTCATAAAGATATACATGTGCCTTAAAAAAAGGGTCAAATTAAACCATCAACGCCTCCGTTTTCGCGTCAAACCTTTGCTGCCTTTTTATATTCATTTATAATAAACATCCACCAGGTGCTGATTTAGCTAGAAAAAATATTGATTCCACACTTATACACCTACAAAATTTTGTATAAAAACTAGAAATTTCTCTCCAATGCATGAGTATATTTAATTAGATTTAAATTTTTAATAAATTATATTATTTAAGGTAACTCAGAATTATTTCCTTTAGGAATATGATTTTTTTATTCATTCAAGTGAGATTTGAATTAGAGATGTGGAATCTAGGAGGAATGGATAAAAATTTAAAATTAATTAATTATTTTTTATTTAAACCTCTAATTAACATATTACTTAATTATGATGCCTCTATTTAATTCAATATATTCAAATCCCAATTAAGATATTAGTCAAATTCAAAATTAGTTATTAATTTTTTTATTTAAGCCTCTGATTGAAATCCCATTTAATTCAATATATTCAAATTCTAATCAATATGTTATTCAAATCTTATTAGTTGAATATATTTGGATTTCATAATATCATATCTGGCCCATTTTTAAACCAATTAGGTACTGCAAGTTTTCAAGAATAGAGATTCTGAGGGTGTTTGGATATCTCTACATATTTAAAACTCTTTCACATATTTACTTCGTATACTGTAAAATCAATTTTAAAACCATGATTTGATTTCCATCCAAACACCCTCTTTTTATTAAATTATTGTTATTTTATTCTGGTTCTTTAATTTTTTTTAATTTGAATTTCTCATTTAATCTGTGCGTTCATCCTTATCCAAATGCTTATCCAAATCCTTACGCATTGCTAGAGAAATATTATAAAATCCAGCATTGTTATGGTTGATTTTCTTTGCCAGCAATTTTATAGTTCATTTTAAACAAATATAAAAATGGTTATCATTTAGGATTTTATTTTCCCATGATTTTAAATCAGGATAATTATTATTAACATTAAAAAAAAGTACAAAAAGTTGTCCCGTTCATAAACTACATAACATGCTATATTTTCTAATGTTTTAGTTTTAACAGTATTAAATTTAAATGAAAATTAATTTTGTGTCATTATATTTTCTAAGTTACTATTATCTTTCGTTTAACTAAAAATATTACACTTGAAAATGCACAATATTCGTTCCAATTTAAATACAAGAACTTGTTGATTAGTTTATTTTAGTTATAAATATAATATTTTAATTTCTTTTATTTTCAATATTTATTATTACCTCCGATATTAATTATAAGACCTCCTTTAGCAAGATCTTATAATTAAGACCAAAAGTAGTATATTTTAAACCAATGTGTGTAATTAACAGAGATCGCATAACTTGAGTGATTGAAGAGAGGGGTATATTAGGAAGACTAAATAGGAAAATAAAATGGTCGTGTTTGAGGCGGGAGTGTTAGGAATAACATATTAAAACCTGTATTCCAACAAAAAGAGTGCTTCCCTCTAACACCATATTTCTTTCTTGGACTACCAAATTGCCTAATTATGGCATGGTCGCCAGCATTCAAGAGATACAATACAGCCATTTTAAAATATCAGCTGTTACACAGTTTTATATGTTTTTAAAAATTAAATTGCATTTTTTCATATGTTTAGTGTCTTTAATAAATTATAGCCAACTTTTTATCTAGATAATTCAATTTATTTTTATATTGTTATAAAGAGAAAGGAAGTAATAAACCTGATGTTGTTTAATTAAAATTCCATTAGTTATTGAATAAACTTGAATGCATATAATTTTGATTATTGTTCTTATTAAATATTTAAATCGTACCCAGTAGTTGGCAAAAAAAAAAATTGTACACAATAATTTTCGGCAAAAAGAAAATTGTACGCAATAATCAATGCTTATTGAGGTTATATTGCAAAGCGGCAATTTTTTTTTTTTAAAAAACCCAAACTATAATAGATATTCTGAAATGAAGATTATACTCATATCATAAGACGAAAACAAAGAGTTTAGGTTATAACGTTGATACTATGAATTCCCTCATCTTTCAACGTATATTTGCGTCAGTGTTTTTATTAGTAGATGAGTTTAAACGCCAGACACCGTAAGAATAATGGGATAAGAATAAAAAATTTCTAAACGTGGACACATCTTAATAACTTATTCGTTAATATAATATTTGGCTATATTTAAATTCTTTATAGTATTAAAAACATAAAAATAAATGAAAATAAAAATTACCCGTATTTCTTATGCTGATCCCTGGGGCCTGTGGGCACCAAAACAGATCTACCTCATTATACTAATAAATAAAAAATAAAATAAAGAGGCCACTTGACAAATGGCCAATTAAGGAAGGTGTTATTGTAATTGGAATCTAGAAATTTGACTATGTTTTCGGCCTCGCATTTTTTTCGTTGACTCAAATATTTCATTCATCATGCGCCGGCGATCTTCACTTGCCAAGATGCCATTAAAGCTGTCGGTTTCGAAGGGATGCGAGAAAGTGGAAATCTGAGGAACGTTTAAAGAGTCTTGATCCTATTGCAAATCCTTACGTTAATAATATTACTATTGCTATTATTGACTTTCTCGGTTCGTTACCTCATCTCCTGCGATAGAACGTGATGGTTTTCTGAGACGACCTAACATTAAAAGCACTCTGATCTAGGGTTTGTTATTTGACTTCAATTTAATTTAATCTCTCCTTTTTTTTACCTCCTCCTTTTACCCTCATCCCCTGCACTACTGTCCTGTCGTTTTCTGACCCTCATCAACACCCGTGGGGAGTAAGAATCTTTGAGTTCCCAAGAGTTTTCCGGAGCTCGACTTGAGCTCGTCGGGATTTCCTTTCCTTCACTGAAGACAAAGCTTGCTGCTTTGACGGTCCCTGATTCATTGAGTAGGCGGGTTCGTAGCTGTCGTTAACGTGGTTGAGGAGCGTGATTGGCAGCGAAGCTGGTGATGGGGAAGGTGGCAGTGGGAGCAACAATTGTTTGTGCTGCGGCGGTTTGTGCGGCGGCGGCGCTTCTGGTGCGCCACCGCATGAAGAGCTCGGGGAAGTGGTCTCGTGCCATAGCTATACTGAAAGAGTTCGAGGAGAAGTGTGGGACCCCAATTGGCAAGCTTAAGCACGTTGCTGAAGCCATGGACGTTGAGATGCACGCGGGTCTCGCATCTGAAGGTGGGAGCAAGCTCAAGATGTTAATCAGCTATGTTGACAATCTCCCGTCTGGGTGCGTATAGTTATTTCCTTCCCCTCCAATTCTCCAAAAAAATTTACACTTTTTTAATTGGAACGTTTGAATTGGCCTCAACTCAAAGAAGATAATTTATGCGCGTCTACTGAATAGAGAGAGCTAATTGATTAAAATGCTCGAGGATCCAGTTTCCTTTCGGATTCAAGAGCATTCTGTCTAACGTCGATAACTCTTTTGCTTGCTTATGTTTCTGTTTTCTGCGGTTATATAGATATATTTTTGGGTATCCTTTCGAGCTATTTTTATCTTCACCGATCCAGATATATGTGTGTCTGTGTGTTTTCTAATAACGAGGTCTCTTCTTTTCGAAAATAGAGACTCTCGCCTTTTATGCTTTCTTCGCATTTCTTGGTTTTTATTCATTTAATTAATTATCTTGACAATTTTGATTAAACCTATGATGATTCTGTGCTATCTGATTTTGGCTGATGGAATTCTTGTGTCTTTGACTCAATGGCCACACGTAACTTTTCTTTTTTAATTTTTATCAGTTGTCCAGTAATTCTTTGTCAATCAATCATGATTATCTTGATAGTCACTGACTAGATGTTAGACAAGGTAACGGCAAAGCATTTTATAGTTTTCATTGTATTGTGAAAAAATTACAGCCAGAATGCTGAAATATACAACTTGAATGATACAACGATGTGTCACATATTATTTGACGGAAGCAATTAAAATTCAGCGATGTGACCCTGAAACCTTTTTAAGTATTGTTCTTTGTTGTGCAAATCCCATATTTTATCCATTGTTTCTAGGGATGAGAAAGGAATCTTCTATGCTTTGGATCTTGGTGGGACGAATTTTCGTGTTCTTCGTGTACAGTTGGGCGGAAAAGAAAAAGGTGTTGCCCACCAAGGGATGGAAGAAGTTTCAATTCCTCCTCATTTGATGACTGGCTCTTCAGAGGTAAGCCTTTGATGGAAACTGTATCAAAGTAATTTGCATGCAATAATGCCTCACTGAAATGCATCAATTCATGTCATTTCAGGCATTGTTTGATTTTATAGCGGGAGCTCTGGCAAAATTCATTGATTCAGAACCTGAAGCTTTTCATCCGCCCCCAGGCAGACAAAGAGAACTGGGATTTACATTCTCATTCCCAGTTAGGCAAACATCAATTGCATCTGGGACTCTAATTAGGTGGACCAAGGGATTCAATATTGAAGATGCGGTGAATCTTGTTACCTTGACTCTGCTATGTTCAACTTTCTTTGTATTACCATTCATGTTTTGTCATGAAGACTTCAAGTCCAAGACATGCATAAGTATTCTCTATCTGTTAGAGAAACCAACAAGCCCCTTTCTTTTTTTGTCCTGAATTTCTGGATTTCAGATACTACTGTGCTAACTTTGTTATGGTAAACAACTAAACATATGTATCATATTAATGTTTTTTTAGTGTCTCATCGTATCTCGAACAGGATTGTCTCCAACAGGAGGATATCTATGTGTAACCCAAAAAAAAAAGGAATAAATTCTCTGTTAGTGATCATCTCTTCAGTTCTCAGCTCTTACTCTTCAAGTATAATAATATGATTGTTATGCCTTAATGGATTCTCTTTGCCTTGTTTATAGGTTGGAGAAGACGTGGTGAGAGAATTAACCAAGTCTATGGAAAAAATTGGCATTGACATGCGGGTCTCAGCTCTAGTCAGTTCCACTTCCATCCCTTTAGTTTCTTTATTTTTTTAATTCAGGCTCTGAGGATGATGATTCTCATTCTATGTCTGAGGAAAATTTTGGAGTTATGAGGTTTCATAGTTACTGCCATTTTTATTGGTAATTTAATGTCTTAGGTAGGAAACAGTACATAATAGCGATTTGATACAGGTTAATGATACCATTGGAACTTTAGCTGGAGGCAGATTCCACAACCCAGATGTTGTTGCTTCTGTGATTCTTGGTACTGGAACAAATGCTGCATATGTAGAGCGTGCACAAGCTATTCCAAAGTGGCATGGTCCTCTGCCAAAATCAGGGGAGATGGTAAGGACGTTATAAATATTTGTGGTTGTAAGTCTCATTTCTTGGATGGTAGACCTATCTTTACAACAAAACTAAGAGCAGCCTGTGATAAGTTGGTGTTGAATCAAACACACTACTTTCTAATTATATAGGTTATCAACATGGAGTGGGGTAGTTTCCGGTCCTCACATCTTCCTCTGACAGAATATGATCACGCTCTAGACGCAGAGAGCCTAAACCCTGGAGAACAGGTGATGATCATCCATCATGAATTTAAACGACAACTGTGCCATCTGTAACACTTCTCCACTATTATTTGCAGATATTCGAAAAGATCATTTCTGGCATGTATTTGGGGGAGATTGTACGGAGAGTATTGTTGAAGATGGCTGAAGAAGCTGACTTCTTTGGAGATACTGTGCCTCCAAAGTTAAAAAAACCATTCATACTTAGGTGTGATGATTCATACAACTAAACTTCTACATCTACACAACTAGGATGGAAATTGTTTATATTGCCGTCTGCCCATTTTGTTGCTGGAGGTGTTTGCTTGTGTGTCTACCTGGGCAGCATGTGTTTGATACTTTATGCTGCTTATCAGTTGCTGTGGTTTAAGTGTTGGGAATGCATCATTGTTCACATTTATTTCACGTTTCTCACCCAGAACTTATCGCTAGTAAGTGGCTAGGTCATTGAGACATCCGCTCAGCATTTTCTTTGTTTTGAGATATGTTATTGACCGTAGAGTGTTGCAGTGCCATGTCAAGATTGCCTCTTTTAGGTTGTGATTGGCGGTTGGTGGGGGACATAGAGAATTGAGGAGGGTGAAAATACGGAGTTATGGAAAGGCTTTACAGTTCTGTTTTTATGCTTGGTAAAAAATGTGGGAAATGTAATGTGGAAAAGCTGTTTTCATCCCTCTTGTTACAAGTGAAAAAACCATAGGGGAATGAACATGTTTTATGCTGGTGAGAAAAGTAATTCATTGTTAACAACAATTTTAAGCAGAGGATCATCGCCTCTTTCATTTTTGTTCAGATTGGTGACATTGCTAATTTTATCTCATCCTGCATCCTTTCGGAGGTACTGTGATAGTCCTAGTGATAGGCAAGTCCTTTTTCATTTCTTCCTTTATATTTCTGGAAAATTGGGTCATTCCAGTTTCATCCCTGCCAAATGCTGCATCACTTTTTGTTGTTGTTTTGGAAATGTAACTGTGTGGTCCTGTTGTTTTAAATTTTTTCCAAAAAAAAAAGAAGGGGTTTTGTTCCAGCATAGTTGTGCAAAATGATGAGATATCGGGAGAACAGATCGCTGTTTTATTTCACTTTCTAATCTTCCTGTTTTGAATTTTATAAATATGCAGGGGAACACATTGCTGTTTTATTGCTTGTTTAAGCTTCTGAGTTTTTTTCATTTATTTGTTTTGGGATGTGTAGGACACCTGACATGTCTACCATGCATCATGATACCTCTCCAGATCTGAAAGTGGTTGGAAACAAATTGAGGGACGTATGTGAGGTATGCATGCTCTAGTTTCATACTCGATGTGGAGGTTTTCTCGTCTCAGCACATATCACCCTCACTTGTTACAGATTCATTTATTTAGGTAGCATTTCTTTTTTCATGAGAAGTGAAAGTTTAGCTGTTCTTTTTGTCAGGTTTCTAATACATCCCTCGAGACAAGGAAGATTGTTCTCAAAGTCTGTGACATTGTGGCCAATCGTGGTGCCCGCCTTTCTGCTGCGGGCATTCTAGGCATCCTCAAGAAAACAGGAAGGGACACAGTCAAGGTCGGGGAGAAGCAGAAAACAGTGATAGCATTGGATGGAGGATTGTTCGAACACTACACTAAGTTCAGAAGTAGCTTGGAGAGTACGATGAAGGAGTTGCTGGGAGATGAGGTAGCTGAGACCATTGTCATTGAGCATTCTAATGATGGTTCTGGCATTGGAGCAGCACTGCTCGCAGCTTCTCATTCCCAGTACCTGGGAGTTGACGAGTCCTGAAAACTTGATGATTAATGACTACGTCAAGATGTGTAATATGTTCATTTTTTTTTAAGCATAAATCAATAGTGTCAAGGGCTTTTAACCATGGGATTATGCCGGAGTCCTCTCGGAAAGTTTAACGAAGGACTCAGTTCATTCTTACTGCAACTTGTAGTGCCGGCTATATTTTTGGTTGCAGGAATAAACATGGCAAATGTAAACTAAACTTGAAGAGTTATCTGGAGTGTAATCTGTTTCCGTTCCGCGCGAGAATAAATCAGGACAAGATGAACCATTCAAGAGTTAATATCAATGGAGAGTTTTGTGATTTGTGGGCCTTTCTTCCTCCCCCTCCTCCTCTAATTTCGTGCGATAACGTTTAATAATCGGACTATCTTCGAGAAACTCTGGATTACTGCAATGTATCTTTGTCAACAAGACAACATCTCTATCTGAAAAATAATGATTCTATCGGAGTTACTAATGGCGTTGTAGAGTGAAGAATTTGGTTTAGAATGGTGAACTTTAGTTGTGGAAAGGTATATCATATTCATATGGAGTATTTGACAATCTTGGAAAGGCAAATTTGCCAACAAAATATGAGTAATACCATGTGTAGAAGTGTCATTAACACGGAAGCCTTGACAGGTCTAACTCATGAAGACTGCTTCCATTTAATTTTGAGTCTTATGATTAACGTGAGAATCTATAAATTCTTTTTCTTTTTTCGTACAAATCTAGAGACTTCTTCTTGTTTTTTTTTTTTTTGGGTATTAGAAGCTATAACCTCATGTCAGTCGATTTTTTACTAATTGGATGGATGTATTTTTGTTAGTATTTACAAACTCTTTTGAATGGTAAAGGCTCTCGAAATTTAACTTGCCAAAAGCCTAAACCTTTTTCTCAAAAAGGGGCAAAATAACAAGCAAGTTCAATCCAAACTCCAAAAGTGACTTCCTCAAGGAAAAAATATGGCACTTTTGATAATTTTAAATGTTTTCCAGATGGATATAAACAATTTCAATAATTTAAATTACTGAATATACAATGATAAACTATAGATATCTCTTGAGAATTTCAATGAAATTAAATAATTTTTATAATTTCAAAATATTTTTTGCCGAACATTTTAAAAATAAAAATGAATGAATATTGACGCCCCTGCGGCTGCGATCTTGTCTCGCCACCGCCTAATCTTCTCATCCTCAGCGCTCAGCGCACAAAACTAAAACAGCGTCGTTGGGGAGCGGGTAGACTGCCCTAGTGCTCCCGGGCTCGGCTCAGGCTTCAGGAAGGCTGCAACTTATCGATGGAAAGTAGATAAGATACTTACATGGTGGCTCCGAAAGCCCCTAACTCCTGTATCAGGTAGTTCGATTCCCCTTGTATTTATCTTTTATCGGCTCTGAGATTCATCTCTGAGCTTTAATCTCCGAGATACGGTTTCTTTGTTGCATAAAATGTATACAAACCTGACCAGAGCTCAGGGTTTTCCACGGGTTCCAAAGATTTCTCCGGGTTCTAAATGCTTCCAATCATCCCACGCGTTGAAGACCCAATGCTTACCATTTTGCTCAGCTCCAAAACCCTCTCAAAACCCCTTGTTAAAGAATCCCAATTTTTATTCACATAAGGCCAGGAATAAAATTGGAAGCTTCTGTTTGATGAATCCAGTAAAGTATTCAACCGAATTGCTGCATGGAACCTTGGAAACGGGAAAACTAGTGAGTTCTAGGCATGTCTCGTATGGGCTGCTGCTTACAAGTTCTGGACGTTATTGCCTTTCATTAAGGCCGAGAAGTTTTTCGAGTTCTTACGCTGGGAAGGTTAACGAAGGGATTGGTGTGGGAAGAGCGGGAAAGCAACTTCCTTGGTTAGCGTCAAATGAAGTTAGGGAAGCTAAAGATTCGGGGAAGACAAAAATGACAAGCATTAGGGGCTCCATTCAAGAAGAATCAGCAGATAAGGAAAAGAAATTCAGTAACAGTTCTTCTGTGGAGGAATCTCTGAAGAGGTCAGGGAAGTTAAATTACAGGTCCTCTTGGGAAGAATCAATTCAAAGGTTAGAGAATTCGACAATTCTGGAATCTGGACATTCTTCTTTACTATCATCAGCAAAATTCAATACAAAAGGTGAAATTTCTGCAGTTAAAGAAAGTAGGTACGGGTCAATGAAGACTGTGGGAGAACAGAGAAGTGTTTATGGTGGCAGGCGTGGGAAGTTGGGTGATGATGAAGAAGAAGGTAATGATGAAACAGAGGAGGCTATTGACGACCCAAGGTGGGATAACATAAAAAATAAATTCAGGGGGATCGCGGGAGGAAGAGCTGGATCAGAGAGACCTGAGCTTCGGAGATGGAATAAGCAGGAAAGTTGGGGAAGAAAGACATGGAAAGAGGCCACACAATCAACTGTGCCTAAGATTGTTGGCGAGGGAGTCTATGGAGTTGGACCAGTTTTGGCTGCATTATCAGCTGGAAGAAGGGAATTCTATGCATTATATGCACAAGAAGGACTGGACTTGAGTAGCAACAACAGGAAGAAGAAGGACAAGAAAGGATTTGAGAGAGTTCTGAGGATCGCTGAAAAGATTGGATTAAGTGTTAAAGAAGCATCAAAACATGACCTTAATATGGTAGTTGATAATCGCCCTCATCAAGGCTTAGTGTTAGATGCTTCACCGTTAGAGATGGTAAAAATAAAAGAATTAGATCCTATTTCTGTTGAGGAAGGGAGAGGTTGCCTTTGGGTAGCCTTGGATGAGGTTACTGATCCTCAAAATTTGGGGGCAATAATTAGGTCTGCTTATTACTTTGGAGCTTCTGGGATAGTATTGTGTGCAAAAAATTCTGCCCCATTGAGTGGTGTTGTAAGCAAAGCAAGTGCAGGCTCGCTTGAATTGATGGAGCTCAGATATTGCAAGAATATGATGCAGTTTCTAGTGTCTTCATCTGAAAACGGTTGGCGAGTTCTTGGAGGCTCTGTGTCCTCAAAAGCTGTCTCCTTGGATGATATTGTTCCTGGTCCACCTACAATTCTTGTTTTGGGCAGTGAGGGGACCGGTTTGAGACCTTTGGTTGAGAAATCATGTACTCATTTAGTTAGGATTCCTGGGAATATTCCTGTTGATCTGACTGCTAGTGAATTAGATGGTGAAACTACTGGTTTGAATTGTGAGATTTCTGGTAAAGACTTCCAATCATATTTAGCTGTGGAAAGCTTAAATGTTAGTGTTGCAGCGGGAGTGCTGCTTCATCATTTAATTGGAAAAAAGTTAGAGGCATCATTGCCACATGTGGGTAGTCAGGGTGATGCACTTGAATGAGAACTTGGAAGATCGTTGAACGCGAACATTGACTTTGTTTGTGCTACTCCGAGTTTCTCTTGGTGAAACCTTGTTTATTTCTTTCATCATGTATTGCATAACCTGTTATCTCATTGGTCATGTAATGTATTCATCTTACGTGCTCAATTTTTAGGGAGTGAATTATGTTTAAGGACCACATTCATGATTAAGAATCACTAATGATAATTTTCAAAATAAGATGAGAGCAATTTAGTCAAAAAGAATCTATCCTTCTGACCTCACAAAACCCCGATTTCGAGGAGGGTCAGTTCTCAAACCGTGCTACCTTCCTTTCAAAGTTCTTTGTTTGTTTTGGGCCTGATTCCTTTCAATTCTTCACTCCGAACCAGACAATAACAAAGGAGGTAGAGCCATCCCCTCCCAATGGGCTCAACCGGCAGACCCGCTCGTTTGACCGCCGATTATGGTTAAAGTAATTATATCGAAGAAAAAATTATGGCAAACTAAGACTAGCATTTTTTTAGCTAAGCACTGATTGGAGATAATCTTATTGGTTAACCACATTATGAAGGACTAACAATCTTGTGACATTGTTAAGTACTAAATATAGGTGCCTCTAACAGGAAGGATTCAAATATTGGTTCACGTTGAGTTCCTAGCAACTACTAGACTCAATCCTATTGGTAGCTGAGACTAACTTTTTTTTTTGGCACTATTAGGTGAGTTGGGTTTTGGGGACTTATTAGGGTTAGGGCATACCTCCAAACTAAAAAAGCGTTTACAGAGATATTTAAAAATCGTCCACCAATAAGGTCCTCACATCGGCAGCGAGATTTGAACTCATAACCTTGTGGGTTATAAGCCGAATCCTTAGCAACTAGACCAACTATTGTTGATAGCTGAGACTAACATTTGAATCAATGGAAATTACCTCTACTATGAAAATGCTTGTGCTTCGGTGATAAAAAGAAAATACCTGTGCTGAGAAAGAAAAAGGGACTGACGTTTGAATTGTTTGGGTTGAGCCCTACTGTTATGAAGGAACCGATTGAATTTTATTAAGGTGGGCTTGTTAATTGTTCCATATACTTTGGGCTTCAAATAGTCTAGGCCCTATTATACTTGTCAGTTATTTTAGTCCACAAAGGCTTCAGACAATGTCAAAAGATTTAGTGCGATTTGTCATCACGTTTTAAATCACGTATTAGTACTTTCTATGTAAATTACAACAAAACTTTTTTTTAAAAATATTTACCTTGTATTTTATAAATTATAATTAAAAAGCTATTTAAAAGTCATTCCAAACGAGCCGTGCTCCCTTCCCTTCATTTTTTCAAAAACAGCACATTGCACCGGACCTCCTTATTGTTTAACAAAACATGTTTTTGTGATAAAAAATTTTGATTTAGCGAGTTTTATGTGCATATGAAATCAGTTGTTAGCTGGCTGAACCCATTTAAACATCTTAATTAATTTTTGTATGTACGGGTCAATTATTACTAAAATATTGCTGCTAATTTTATGTCTGAGTATTATTTTTATACAGGCGAGAGTTGCTTATGTTTTGGCATGGGGCTTTATGCATGCTTCAGTGCCCTTATACAGCCCTCTCACTTGTTAATGAAATCATAAAATGCCGTGTTCTTTTCATTGTTAACAATATATACAAATTGATTTTCTGCATTAAGAGAAGAAGATAGTGGCTGAAAGAAAAGAAACCACACACAGATTCACTCCCCTTTTTGTATTTATTTCTATCTTTTGTATGAATACCGTGTGTAGTCCCCTTAATAGTTAATAAGCTGGTATGCTAATCACGTTTTAACAGCTGAACCAACTTTTTTGTATGTGCTAATTAGTTATTAGTGAAATGTTGTTTCTTGTGCAGTGCATAATGCTTAGCTTACCGTTTATTTTGAAATATGAGTCTACATTTCTGAGCCTTCATGCATTGCCCCGAAGCCTCTAATTGTTAATTGTTTTACAAAGTTGTAAAATGACCTTTTCCCCCCACTTAATTGTCAGTCAA